TACCCCCTTTCTTTTAGTTGCTCCTCCTTCTCATTTATATCCTCCTTCTTCTACTCCATTTCTACCATACTCTGCTTTGCTTTCCCTCTTTGTTTCCCCAGTCTTGTTAGCACTGGTCATGCATGCTTGACTCCCTGATTAACTAACAACCCAGAGGATGTTACACAGAATCGTGTCTGCTCACCTCAAGAGAGGCATCGATTTGCTGGCAGGCGGTAACCACACAGACGGCTGGCACATCCAAATGAGCCTGAGAGCAGAAACTGGAGAAATGAATACATGCTGGGAGAGGAAAGAGGCTGCTATTTAAAAATTAGCAGCTTTATTTAGGGGAGAATTCTGTTTTTTTTTTCATCTGAGTGCATGTTTAATTAAAGGGGGGCATGAAGTGAAAGACAAATATGATGAATGAGGAATAATATCAGCAATAACAAATGAGTTAATAGATGACGAATCTGTTCTTTGAAGCACTGAATACATTTTAAATACAGCAGAAAAATCTCAGGCTCATTGTATGTATGCATGTGTGAAAACTGCTTCCTCAGTGAACGTGTTGTTAGCTTTACAGTTTGTATTTGAAGACAGAAGGTCAGATATTATGCAGAGAGAAGTTCCTCAAAGAGATGCAGATGTAAGCAGATTTTTTCTCTTATTCAGTGGATAATTATCCTGTATGAACCATTTTGGCTATTTTAAAGATTGCATCATATATTACAAAAAAGTCTTTTCTTGCTTCTGAATATGCTGCAGTTTCAATAATATCTGTTTGAATTTCTGGCACCAAGCACAGAATCAATCACCACAGCTAATTTTCTAATAATGTAGAATTGCATATGATGATGCGCGATACTAGAGCATCTCCAGGATATTGAGAAAATCTTACACATGTTTTCTTTTCCCCACACTGAAGTAAAAATGTAGAATATAGGCTCTCAACTGTACTGTCCAGACCAAAAACTAATGGTGATGGTGACCGGTTGAGTTATTGGAATCATGATGATGTCACATCCACATCCTGTCTGGGTCTTATCAGTGATAAAACACTATCCTCACATACCTACGGTGATTTTACCTTCTTGTGTGGGTACGTCTTTACCTTTGTTATAGCTTCCTCTGGTGATGGGCAGTACTTCTCAAACCGCATGTTTGTCAGATATTTCCCAAGATGTCCTGGACAGATGTTATTTGTATTTAAAACTGTGTAATAAAATGAAAATGGATGATTGCACCTCATAAAGTTTGTATTTGAAGCATCGGACATGGTGGCCTTTACATCCAGGAACAGATTATCTAAAAGTCTCTCCAGCCAAGCCACCATCACCTTGTAGGTAAACAGAGAGCCCAGAGGAAGAGAGGACCTTACTATCAACAACTGGGAAAAAGGATGAGCATGGACAAAGCACTGAGCTATAAAAACTAGTGAACAGTGCGGGGGAGTACTCGGCTACCCCACTGATTGTTGTTTTGACACAAGGGTAGTGAAGTCGTCACACCAAGTCACAAATATAACTGCTTAACAAAACTAAAGTTTAAAACTGATACATAGACCCTGATCATTACACACATACACGCTCGATACCATCCATCCAGCTGTGTCCGACCTGCACTTTCCTACATGCCTAACAGCAAACATGATGACGCACAATCACATGGCAATATGAAATATGCCATCATTTCTGTCTATGAAATGCAACAGAGACAGTGTAGTCACCAAATGAACCCAATGCAGCTACCTCAACTCAAGACGAAATGTCCAGTCTACTGGAACTCCTTTCAAATAAAGACAAACTATGAGCTTGATGTTGGACCAGGGATAATGTATTGTATATATACATAGTAGACAGACTGTATATACAGACTGAGGAGTCACCACCTGTCCGACTTCCCTGTGTTAGCTTTCTCAAACATTCTCAGTTCGACTTTTTCTCTTGACTCAACAGATGGGTCGGAGGTCTGGTTGAGCCCCAGAGATTCATAAACTTTGTATGTGAAAGACAGTGAGAGAGTTTGTACGTGAGGGCACAGATAATCGTGAAAGATGGTGAACGTGACTCAGAATGAAGAGGAGAATCTGGGTGATGCTATCTGGGACAAAACCAGACACAAAGACAGCATATGTGTGAGCAACCACGTGTTATCTTCGGTCTCCCGTTCAGCTTTTCCATCCTTTCTTCTCCACAGTGTTGGCATAGCTGTAGCACAGCTAAGCCTGATCCTATCCTCATACTGGGGCATCAAAAGAATTGAAAAGTTTGTAACACAGTTGTAGTCATTAAAGCTTGTCAAATAAGGTCACATCCTACCTGACACTGTGAAGCATCAAAGTGTCAGAAATGGCCAAAA